TAAAATGTATGTTCCATTGTAAACATTTTATGTCATCTAAACCGATGCAACTGGTAGACCACACTTTCTGACACTCTTTCTCTTATGCCTTTCCTAAGCTTTTGGAAACACTATTATCTATCTTTTAGATGCAATCACCACACTAATTACAGGGCCTTGCTTCTGATGGCTGGCAGCATACCATAAGCTATCTGGAATCTCCACTCAAGTTCCAACCTGCTCCTAGTTTGTGGTTGAGACCTAACTGTCCTTAACTAATGCATTTTTGTCCCTGTCTTATCCACTTTTCACTCCTGGGAATCTTGGTGATATTTATCATGGTAGCTATAGATTTTCTGCATCCACAAATGGCCACCAAAATCTTAAGAGAACAATGTGACCAACTAGATATACATTGTCCCAAGTTGGTGCCTGGAGCCTATGACAGAGGATACATTAGTCCTGTGTCCCCAGAGAAAACCACACAATGAGCATTTTTAGGATAAGATTAGTAATAGCAGCTACCTTATTGCTTTATTAATGGGTGTCCTAATTCTCCTAACAGTGTTATGCCCAGTAGTGATGAGCTAAACACACCTGGGTTTGGTTCAAACATGGGTTTAGCATACATAAGTAAATTTCAGGTGCAGAATTTGAACCCCCCTGAAATCAACTGGAGCAGAATTTAAAAAAAATCAGTTCTGGCCATTTTCTAGGCTAATAGGCAAGTGATTGTCAAACGAATGGCATGGGGGCTGGAAACATCCCTGGGGAACATGTACAAAACAAAACAAAAAGTATTTTATTTCCTGTTCCTTTGATACTGGTCAGCGTGAAAAGAAGTGAAGAGAAACATCCCAACTTTATCCAAAAATTAAAACAAAACATTTTGGAAAAATATATATTTGAATACATGTCATGTAGATTTTAATTTAGTTGGTCACATCACTATATATTTTCAAACTACTTCAATCAAGTAAGAAATCTCTTTTCTGCTTACCTGTACAATCCCTGGCAAAGTCACAGCATGACCCTATAATTGGCTATGATTATCATTAAGAAAGCTCACTACAAGCTTGTTTTACAAAGTCCTTCACATATTTTTGATTTTTTTTTCCATTTTATTCATTGTATACTGAGTATCCAGACTGATTTTTGTTAAAGCTGTTTTTATATTGTACAATGCCATATTGTGTTGAATATTCAGATATTGAATATTTTGCTATCCATAAACATGACAAGTAAAACTGATTTTTTTTTCTATGTACAGTACATGTAATACTTGCTCTGCTGCCAAAAGTAAACAATATATTTTGTTATAAGTCCAATTCACAGAAAAACATGTTAAAGGATAACCACTTTTGGGGGGGAAAAAAATTAGCGATGAAAAGAAAACTAATATACCGTATACAAGTATTACGTAAGTCATATTGTAATCAAATGTTATTAAAAAGTACCTTTCCTTTTCTATCTGCAGTGTTGTTATTTTCTGGAAAATTCAATGCAATATGGCTACCTGAAGGTGTTCTGTACACAAATGGTGTAAAGAAAACCCCCAAAAAATGTAATTTCCTGCTTGCATAATCGTCTCACTAATTTTCCCAGAAGTCTGCACTAATATACAGTCATGGCCGAAATTGTTGGCACCCTTGATATTTTTCCTGAAAATCAAGTATTTCACACAAAAAAGGTATTGCATTAACACATGTTTTGCTATACACATGTTTATTCCCTTTGTATGTATTGGAACAAATATAAAACAGAGGCAGAAAAGCAAATATGACATAATGTCACACAAAACCCCAAAAAATGGGCTGGACAAAAGTATTGGCACCCTTAACTTAATATTTGGTTGCACACCCTTTGGAAAACATAACTGAAATCAGTCGCTTCCTATAACCATCAATAAGCTTCTGACACCTCTTCACCCGGAATTTTGGACCACTCTTCCTTTGCAAACAGCTCCAGGTCTCTCTTATTGGAAGGACACCTTTTCCCAACAGCAATTTTAAGATCTTCTCCACAGGTGTTCAATGGGATTTAGTTCTGGGCTCATTGCTGGCCACTTCAGAACTCTCCAGCGCTTCTTTGCCATCCATTTCTGAGTGCTTTTTGACGTATGTTTGGGGTCATTGTTCCTGCTGGAAGACCCAGGATCTTGGACGCAAACCCAGCTTTCTGACACTGGGCCCTACAGTGCGACCCAAAATCCTTTGGTAATCCTCAGATTTCATGATGCCTTGCACACAGTCAAGGCACCCAGTGCCAGAGGCAGCAAAACAACCCCAAAAGGGATCATTGAACCTCCACCATATTTTACCGTAGGTACTGTGTTTTGTTCTTTGTAGGCCTCATTCCGTTTTCGGTAAACAGTAGAATGATGTGCTTTTACCGAAAAGCTCTATCTTGGTCTCATCTGTCCACAAGACGTTTTCCCAGAAGGCTTTTGGCTTACTCAAGTACATTTTGGCAAACTGTAGTCTTGCTTTTTTATGTCTCTGTGTCAGCAGTGGGGTCCTCCTGGGTCTCCTGCCATAGCGTTTCATTTCATTTAAATGTCGACGGATAGTTTCGCGCTGACACTGATGCTCCCTGAGCCTGCAGGACAGCTTGAATGTCTTTGGAACATGTTTGGGGCTGCTTATCCACCATCCGGACTATTCTGCGTTGCAATCTTTCATCAATTTTCCTCATCCGTCCACGACCAGGGAGATTAGCTACAGTGCCATGGGTTGCAAACTTCTTGATAATGTTGCGCACTGTGGACAAAGGCAAATCTAGTTCTCTGGAGATGGACTTGTAACCTTGAGATTGTTGATATTTTGCCACAATTTTGGTTCTCAGGTCCTCAGACAGTTCTCGTCTCCTCTTTCTGTTGTCCATGCTTAGTGTGGCACAGACAGACACACAATGCAAAGGTTAAGTGAACGTCTCTCCTTTTTATCTGCTTTCAGGTGTGATTTCTATATTGCCCACACCTGTTACTTGCCCCCAGGTGAGTTTACAGGAGCATCACATGCTTGTAACATTCTTATTTATCCGCAGTTGTGAAAGGGTGCCAATACTTTTGTCCAGCCCATTTTTGGAGGTTTGTGTGACATTATGTCGAATTTGCTTTCTTTCCTCCCTTTTTTTGTTTTGTCCCAATACACACAAAGGGAATAAACATGTGTATAGCAAAACATGTGTTAATGCAATACGTTTCGTGAGAAATACATGATTTCCTGGAGAAATATCAAGGGTGCCAACAATTTCGGCCATGACTGTACATATCAGATTTTTGGGTGTTCCCCTGCAACAAAAATTTTATTTTTGGTAAGATGCTCTCAAATCACATCTAAAGGGATGCAGACTCTGCCACTTTCCTCATTAGAGCCCTTCAAGTGCAGCAGCTGATTCACTTTGCACATGGACACAGACAAACAAACAGCTAATCTTTCAGAATAACAAAAGGTTATTGTACACATATCATCCAAATGGGAATATTTTGTTTCTTGACAAAAGTAGTGTTACTCTTTAAATGTTTTCCTTTGCCACCTCAGTACCAGCACGTTTCACCCCCTTCATTACTAAGCCAATTTTCAATTTTAGAGCTGTACTCTTTTGATATAATGAAATCTGTCACACTGTGCCCAAATTAATTTTATATCTTTTTGGGGGTTTTTAGACAGCTAGAACTTTAAACTGGTGGTGATTCTAAACCACTGGGTTTTATTTTTTACTATGTAAAGGAAAAAAAATCCTAGTTGCTACTTAAAACATAGCAAATAAACATAAAAATACCAGCATGGTATGAAAATCCCCAAAATTACAACTTTTTCAAAAGTAGACACTCCAAGGTGATCTAATTTGTGGATTTAAACATAGTGGCATTTTGTGAGTTAAAACATGGAGCTTTGTAATGGTGCACTGCTTTCATTAGATGTACAGGTCATACACAGAGGGATCAGGAAGTGAAGGAGTTAATATACAGTCCACATACAGTGGGAGTATAGAGGCAAAATTAGTTATTGTACAGAAAAGGGAGATAATATACAGGTCAGGTCAAAATCAAGATGGAGCTAGCATATACAGTAGAGGGTGAATGACAATAGAGGGTGGATTTTGGCATTGTGCCAGTGTAGCATTTGCAGAACAGGTAAGGAACTGGTCGTAGAGGGCTTATGTTGACACAGTTGGCCAGGTTAAACATGTATTGCAATATGTGTGAGCTAAAAATTCCTGTTTTTTTTATTGCAAAGTCTGCTAGAAAGGGTATATAGCAGCATGCAGAGGGTTCATCCAGAAATTCTAGTCATAGCCTAAACACACATTCATAGATGCCCATTGCCCTGAATATGCAGGGCCAATCCCATATCTCCATCCTCTGTCCCAATATACTATGTCCTGGATTGTGTACCAAGATCACATCATCATCTTTAAAGGGTAATGTGTCTTTTGTGGGAAAAAAACAGCAAATTAAAAAAATTAATAATATTGCATATACAATTGCTGCACAAGCCATATTGTAATTGAATGTTATTAAAAACTACAGTACCACTTTCATTTTCTTAGAAATGCAATATGGCAACCTGGAGGCCTTCTGTACACAGTTTGGTGTGCAAAACGCCCCTCCAAAAATGTAATTTCCTGCTTGTGTGATTGGCTCACTTATTTTCTGTCTGCACAAAGATACAAGTCAGATTTTAGGCATCCACTGCAAAAAATATGTCATTTTTCAAGAGATACACCCAAAAGATTAACCACGTCTGAAGGGATTCAGACCCTGTGACTTTCCTTATTAGAATCCTGCAAGTACATTAGTTGTAACTAGAGATGAGCGAATTATTAAAAAATTCGATTCGACTGATTCGGCGAATTTGTGAAAAAATTTTGATTCGAGTCGAATATATTCGCTGCGAATTTAACTTATAAAAAGGGTGTTTCTAGGCTTCAGAGAGCCTTTATATTAGTGCAGAACACTGTACCTTTAATTTAAATGCCCTTGGAGTCTGCTGGGGAAGAGAAATAATACTGTCAGTCAGTATGACATGCAGATGAGTGCCGTCGATCTTAGAATCACCGCACACTTCACTCATTTGGGCAGTCACGGGGCCAAAACCAGAGTGTGGAGCCACAGTGTGGCGGTGGAGGCAGCAGCAATAGGAGGCCATACAGCACCCTATGACAAAATGGAACCCACCAGCAGTGTGAGGAGACCTGAAAGTGGCACATGGCAGAGTGTGGCGATGGAGACAGTAGCAATGGGAGGCCGTACAGGGACCCATGACACACTCTGGACCTGGCAGCAGCATGAGGAGGCGGTACAGGGGCCCATGACAGATTACGGGCCTGGCAGCAGCATGAGGAGTTGGTACGGGTTCCCATGGCAGATTACGGGCCTGGCAGCAGCAATGGGAGGCCGTACAGGGACCCATGACACACTCTGGACCTGGCAGCAGCATGAGGAGGCAGTACAGGGGCCCATGACAGATTACGGGCCTGGCAGCAGCATGAGGAGTCGGTACGGGGGCCCATGACACACTCTGGACCTGGCAGCAGCATGAGGAGGCGGTACAGGGGCGCATGACAGATTACGAGCCTGGCAGCAGCAACTTGGACAGGAGGACGTTCAGCTTCTGCACCGTCGGGTGCGTGCTCGCAAACTGTTGTCTCTTGGAAACGGATTCCAAGAAAGACTGCTGACGGAATCCGTGAAGAGGAGTAGCAGGAGAAGGAGCATCTGAACGAGCGGAATATGCCAACAAGCGACAACAGGGGCCCATGACAGATTACGGGCCTGGCAGCAGCATGAGGAGTCGGTACGGGGGCCCATGGCAGATTACGGGCCTGGCAGCAGCAATGGGAGGCCCGAAATCTGCCAGCACCCTATGACAAAAAATGGAACCCACCAGAAGTGTGAGGAGACCTGAAAGTGGCACATGGCAGAGTGTGGCGATGGAGACAGCAGCAATGGGAGGCCGTACAGGGACCCATGAGAGACTTTGGACCTGGCAGCAGCATGAGGAGGCGGTAATGGGGCCCATGGCAGATTACGGGCCTGGCAGCAGCAATGGGAGGCCCGTAATCTGCCAGCACCCTATGACAAAAAATGGAACACACCAGCAGTGTGAGGAGACCTGAAAGTGGCACATGGCAGAGTGTGGCGATGGAGACAGCAGCAATGGGAGGCGGTACAGGGACCCATGAGACACTGTGGACCTGGCAGCAGCATGAGGAGGCGGTACAGGGGCCCATGGCAGATTAAGGCCTGGCAGCAGCAATGGGAGGCCCATAATCTGCCAGCACCCTATGACAAAATGGAACCCTGGGCTGGGGCAGGCAGAACCGCCGTATCTTTATCACGGTTTTCCCAGGCCACCGAATGGCGACGCTGCATATGCTGCCGCAACGCTGTAGTCCCAGCATGGGCCCCCTGGCCACGCTTGACTTTCTGGCCACATAGTCGACATACGGCTACGTTTACTTCCTCGGGCGGCTTGACGAAAAATTGCCACACCGCCGAGTAGGAAACTTTGCCCCCGCTACTCCTCACTGGCTGACTGCTACTTCCTCCGTGCACACCGGCACCACTACTGGCCGTGGTGGTAGGCTGCAGTGGAGCTGGTGCTCTACTCCGTGGCCGTTTGCCTCCACTGACACTGCTGCGACCCTGCTGCCTCCTGGCAGCAGCAATGGGAGGCCGTACAGGGACCCATGAGAGACTTTGGACCTGGCAGCAGCATGAAGAGGCGGTACAGGGGCCCATGGCAGATTAGGGGCCTGGCAGCAGCTATGGGAGGCCCGTAATCTGCCAGCACCCTATGACAAAAAATGGAACACACCAGCAGTGTGAGGAGACCTGAAAGTGGCACATGGCATGAGACACTGTGGACCTGGCAGCAGCATGAGGAGGCGGTACAGGGGCCCATGGCAGATTAGGGGCCTGGCAGCAGCTATGGGAGGCCCGTAATCTGCCAGCACCCTATGACAAAAAATGGAACACACCAGCAGTGTGAGGAGACCTGAAAGTGGCACATGGCATGAGACACTGTGGACCTGGCAGCAGCATGAGGAGGTGGTACAGGGGCCCATGGCAGATTAGGGGCCTGGCAGCAGCAATGGGAGGCCCGTAATCTGCCAGCACCCTATGACAAAAAATGGAAAACACCAGCAGTGTGTGAGGAGACCTGAAAGTGGCACATGGCAGAGTGTGGCGATGGAGACAGCAGCAATGGGAGGCCGTACAGGGACCCATGAGAGACTTTGGACCTGGCAGCAGCATGAGGAGGCGGTAATGGGGCCCATGGCAGATTACGGGCCTGGCAGCAGCAATGGGAGGCCCGTAATCTGCCAGCACCCTATGACAAAAAATGGAACACACCACCAGCAGTGTGAGGAGACCTGAAAGTGGCACATGGCAGAGTGTGGCGATGGAGACAGCAGCAATGGGAGGCGGTACAGGGACCCATGAGACACTGTGGACCTGGCAGCAGCATGAGGAGGCGGTACAGGGGCCCATGGCAGATTAAGGCCTGGCAGCAGCAATGGGAGGCCCATAATCTGCCAGCACCCTATGACAAAATGGAACCCTGGGCTGGGGCAGGCAGAACCGCCGTATCTTTATCACGGTTTTCCCAGGCCACGAATGGCGACGCTGCATATGCTGCCGCAACGCTGTAGTCCCAACATGGGCCCCCTGGCCACGCTTGACTTTCTGGCCACATAGTCGACATACGGCTACGTTTACTTCCTCGGCGGCTTGACGAAAAATTGCCACACCGCCGAGTAGGAAACTTTGCCCCCGCTACTCCTCACTGGCTGACTGCTACTTCCTCCGTGCACACCGGCACCACTACTGGCCGTGGTGGTAGGCTGCAGTGGAGCTGGTGCTCTACTCCGTGGCCGTTTGCCTCCACTGACACTGCTGCGACCCTGCTGCCTCCTGGCAGCAGCAATGGGAGGCCGTACAGGGACCCCATGAGAGACTTTGGACCTGGC